CTTTATATTTATTTTTTGATGTAACTGCATTTTATTTCGAAGGCATGCTTAAATAAAATTAAATTAAAATTAATAAATTAAAATAATCTAAAATAGAAACAATCAATTCCCCCCCCCCAAATCGGACCGCGGTAAAATTATCAAACGTTGACAGGTCCGCGGTGATAAAAAGGTTGGGGAACACTGGTCTAGACCATTTAAACAGAAGAAAAATGTATTTCTTTCAACAACAACAAAATATGTATCGCCATAGGAAGAGGCAAATAATTTTTTTTATAAACATGCAATATTTTGTATCGTTAAAATTACTATGTTGACAGTGACATGGAAGGTGTTATCGCAGTCGAGAGCTTTTCATAATATACCATACTCCTAAGCCTGTTCACACATCGCCTCGTAAGCATAACATAAGCGGAGGGATACACCGGAAGTTTTCTAAATTTCTTCCGGTCTTATTGTTTATACATTCAGTCAATAGTGGACTTAAATTTCCTTTTTGCAAGTATTTAAATAATGATTACTCCATGTGATACAACGGTATACAATTATGATTTAGAATTCACATTATACAAGGCAACTTTTAAAATAACTTATTTCGCTGGAATGAATAATGCAAATATTTCTAAAAACAGACAGAAGGGAAAGCAGCACAGTAATTCCAATTTTTAATTACAACTTTCTTCAGAAATGTCTTAAATCAAAAACATGAACATATAAAAAGTTGAAAAAGATAAAACGTCTATCTTTTCAAGCCTTCCTCATGGGAGGGAATATTTTGAATGATTATTAACCTTCCGTTAAAATTTCGTTATCCTACGATTGTGATTAAAGCACAATTAGTTAATAAAACGTAATTGTACTTTATATACAAAAGTTAGCTTGCGCAATTGTGCGGGTTAGATACTAACCCAATGTGTTCTTAGTGAGTCGTGATGGTTCAGGAGATAAGGCGCTCACTTCGCAACCAGACGGACCGGCTTCGAATCCCAGATATGGATGGTCGATACGAATTGCGCATCGGCTCACTCTAACCACAGTGCTGAAGTAAAATATCGTAAGTGGTAGACCAGTGGTGCGCAAACTTTTTTCGACTGCGACCCCTTTTGTAGAGAGAAAATTTTTGGCGATCCCTAGAGATAAATGTTCACAAATACGATGTATATTTTGAGCATTTCTTTCGTTTCATCGAATAAAAACATCATCATATTTGACTCATATTAATTTTATTTATAATTTTAAGAAAATACTTTTTGTATAACACAAAAATCATTAATTGCCCTTTAATGAAATGTATGTGGCTGCAAGTTTCTAATTATCTCATCGATGTTTGGATGTATGTTGCTAATTGCAATTCGCATATCATCTTCAGGGTTTAAACGCGAGCGGTATTTAGTTTTTATTGAAACTAGTTTGCTAAATCCAGTTTCACATAAATACGTTGATGCAAATTGTATTAACACTCTGATGGCATTCTTGCATAAAACGGGATATTGTTTTTCCACGGATAGCCAGATAGAGAATACATTACGGTCAAAGAAAGAGTGGACAGCATGAAATTGCAATTAAACAGTGAGTGACGGCGATTCACTCTTTATATGTACACTGTATAGTATGCAGCATGCAGGGATAATGCATTTCATAAAAATTTGGCGACCCCCAAAGAACTTCTGGCGAGCCCCACAGGGGTCGCGACCCCTAGTTTGCGCACCACTGTGGTAGACGAATTATAGAGTCTCTTTGCCGTCAGACTAACGGCAGGAGGTTTTCGTGGTTTTACGCCCCATGTAACGCAAATGAGGATAAATAATTTCCCTCTATACTTGATCCAAAAGTTCCCTTGTCTTCTGCATTTAGTTAAAAATTACAAGGTAAGGAGTTGATCATTGGTAGTCGTAAACCCAAAATTGAGTCGGCTGTTCAACGACGGAATAATGTAATATGTTCTTAGCGGTATATTCATTTTCAATAAAGCTTAAACTGAGTAAATTACTATTTTAATATTAAAAATATTCAAGCTGCTTCATTACTAACATAAATATTAGATCGTAAATTTGATGTGTTGCATACATATTATCTTTTTCTTGGATTTATGCTCCTAGCAGTTTCTAAGTTTTAAGTTATTTACACAAGAAAAAAAATATTTCAAATTTCATCAGATTGTATTAAAAGACGAAAAGGAAACTATATTGAAGAGAGACTCAATATATTTAGTTAGTTATTAATTTATTAATAAAATTTTGTACTACTACAGTCACTTTTTCCAAGAATACTACTGCAATATGCTAAAATATACTTTATCAAAAATTTTAGTTATAACGAACCATCAGTAGACTTATCGCCGAGTCGGTGTTTGTTAGTAGGGACGAATTTCGAATCGTAATTTACAATTGAATTATAATGTTTAATATCGTTATGAGTATCACAGGGATCTAACTCAGTTTCTCTTCAAAACGAGAATTCACAGTACGTCAGTCAAGAACATATAATAATATTAGTGTACAAAACACAATGACGAAACCTTACAAGCATAAAAAAAAGTTAAAATACATCAACACGAAATCACTATCACTCCTTTAAGAAGACGCTGTACCAACGAAAGAAAAGAGGGAAAAAAAACGAGAGCAAAGCAGGATTACTTTTCATTGCATATTCATGCCATTCCCATTTTGAAAAGACAAAAAAAAATCAGACATTTAAAATTTTGTAGGTTACCCTAGGTGAATTCTGAACTCATTTTTTTCTACGCTTTCAATTCTAAATTACTTACGTGGATTGAAGAGAATTTGGCAAAAAAAAAAATCCCCCCCCCAGCATCCGTTTGAGCATTTATCACCATAAACAACCTAACATTCATAGTATCCAACTATTTTTAAATAATGTTTGTCTGGGGATTTCTTAAAAAAATTGCGTATTAAAAGAATGAAAATGTTTGTCCTTTTTTCAAATTTTACTACTTTTTCCCCCCCTAGGTTTTTGGCAAAAATTCTCATTTTCCCTGATTTTTTAAGCTAATTTCATTATATTTCTTCTGAATATATTCAATCACATACCAGACATAACTAATCTGATAACGTGGGCCGCATTAACAGGAAATAGTTAATAGACTCCTGCAATAAAGAGTAATTCTATATAGAGGTTAACCATCACCTCCTACATCAAAAAGTCTCCACACGGTTTTTTATAAGTAGTCCGCGCAGACTAATTAAAAAGTGAACCAATTGTGCGCATGAACCCAAAACCTTTTATAAAAGTAATTGAAAGAAATTTATCATATATATTTGAGAATGGAATCTGTAGTGGTTGACAAGTGAGTAAGGCAAACCAATAATATTCTAAAATAAAACAAATTTTTAGTCACATATTTGCTACCACTTTCTTATTTTAACTAGATTTTGTATTAAGTGACTCGTTCGGAAAGTGGATAACCTTCACAGTGGTCTGATCAGACTACCTATAAAAAACGGTGTGGAGGTTTTCTGATTAACCCACTAGAGCAGGGTTGGAGACTCCTGTAGAAGGTTAAGTATAGCAGAGAGACCGGTTTTTTTATTATCTTTAGGGCCTGATTATTCAAAAATATACACATATATATTGCAATTTAATTAGACTGGCAAACTAATTTCTCATATATATATAATATTACTATATCTTATCTAATTCGTGTGTGAGGATTTCAAATCTGAAATTAGTTTCGCTCCAAAAGCTACAGATATTTTTTTTTAAATGATAATTTTGGTTTATTTTATTTTATGACTGAATTTACAAGTTTATAAAGAACATATGTTTATATACATACCTATACACTTGTCTGCTCTTTTGAAAATAATACTCAAGACAAAAAAATTATGATCTCAACGTATTGCATAAGTTGAAATGTATCATCTTCCTACCACGACCAGTGTAGCAGAGAAGTGGAGGCACATCGTGACTTTAAAAAAAATCCTGATTATTATGTTATTCAATTGCATAAAAACTGTAGCTTGTAGAGAGACAGGGTTCGCATTACGCATACGAAAATTTAACTTCGATTTTATCTTTCAGGGATGAGATTAGCTAAAAGGCAAAAAAGCTGAATTTCCACGATAGTAAAATTTACGCAAGCGCAACCCTTTAACAATAAATTCCAGACAGTTTAAGGTAATAAATAATGTGTTGATATACAATTGTGTACTAATCTATTATTATATAAATGATTACATTGATACTCAACATTTAGTGAAAATAAAAATTACCAATTGAAAAAATAAAGCTGGAAATTATATTTTTCCTCAGTTCACATAAGAGACAATTTTTACTTGAAAAACTACCTGGTTTAGCAAATTAAAACTACTGAGAATATACAATAATATTTCATTTCTTTTAATAAATACTGTTATGTGATTTACAGCAAATATATCAGTAATATTACTTTTTAAATNAAAAGCTATGTTTGATATTAAAATCGTGTGAATAAGAATCGAGATATTAGCAGATTCCAGGCTTGGGACCCCTAAAAGGCTTGTCAGAAGCAGCGTCGTTTGAACTACAAAAATCGGATCTATCTGGAGGGCGGGTAAAAAATTCAGAAAATCTTATCAGCTGCGAGTAAAAGGGGAGAAAATAGCTAAAATGAGAAAGGATTGGTAGCTATGTAGTTTGAATTTTCTGTTTCTCTTTGAAAATTGGTGAATTTTCTGAAAAAGCGGAATAGTACTTATAAAAAAAGTGAAATTTTTAGAAAAATCTGAATTTTTGATAAAAAAAGAAGCTGAAATTCAAGAGATAAAAGTGAAATAAGCGGAAATCCGCTAAAAAGCGGAAAAATCTCATCCCTGATCTTTATAAATGACCATTTTTCAACGATAGATATATAGTATAACAACCTGCACTTCGCTGGCAATGAACATTTTTCAAACCCGCATCCAAATTTCGATACCAAAATATCTTTAGTATGAAAACTAACAAAACAGAATGAATTGTTATATGTAATAAATAATTTGTTATTTTGGTGAACTTTAAAATGAAACTTTTGAAAATTTTATTACAAAATAAACATGACATAATGTACAATTCAATGAGTATAAAAGAACAATTTCAATCCACTGTATGGCAAATTTGTTGCATTATAGTACAGCACAAATCCATCAATTGCAAAAATTCATCTGCACCATCGAGTAAGCGTTTATCACAAATCTAAAACACAAAAAACTTCCACTCAATTTTTATAAACAACAAAATTTAAAGAACTTAAAATAATTTATTCAAAAATAAAGGCTTATATTATGATGCACAACCTTTTGCAGGGGTGACACAGTTAAAAACCCTGAAAATTTTATGTGCAAATTGATATCAAGATATCAATTTATATATCAAACATGCTATCATAATTAACATTTTTGAACTAGCATTTATAATTGAATTATCTAATAATGAAGAATATCACACAGTAACTAATTCAAGAAAAAACTTACTTTTTACAAGAATCTGCTATATTGGATTTTAAAAATTGCATGAATATGAATCGCGATATTGAATATTAAAACCGCGAAATTTAACTTTAAATCGCGATGCATAATTTTTTGATCGTGTGGTTTGGTTTTTAAATCAAGTATAAATGCCAAAATCGATTTTTGATATTACAACTGCGTGAATATGTATCCCTATATTGGATTTTAAAAATGTGTGAATACGAATCGCAAGATTGGACTTTAAACTCGCATGAATATGAATCGCGATATTAGGTTTTAAAAACGAGTAAATACAAATCCAGATATTGGACTTCTAATTCACATGAACAAAAATGGCGATGTACAATTTTTAAATCGCGTGAATAGGAATAGCAACATATAACTTTTAAATCGGGTAAATACGAAAAATTTATGTTTGATGCGCGAAGGCAGCGATAGTCTGGTTGGTAAGGCATTGGCTCCATATCCAAGAGTTCGTGGGTATGATCCCCGTCGGCCGAAGACTCCCCGTGTAGTAAATAGTGACTGATGCACGTCAAATCTGTCGAGTCGCTAAGTCCTCCATGTTCCCATAACAAATCAATACCCCTGGGGGTACTGATCCAGGAGTTTCCTTGCCTTCTGGATTGGTTCAAAATTAAAAGGCTATGGAGTGGAACATTAGTAGTCGTAAACCCAAAATTGGGTCGGCTGTTTAACAACGGATGTATAAGAAAATAATATTGTGAATAAGAATCGCGATATTCGCAGATTCCAGCTCCAAGCATTCAAAATGGTTTGCAGCTCCAAGCATTCAAAATGGTTCGCAGCTCCAAGTATACAAAATGGTGAAAATCAACAGAAACCAAAAGAATCAAAATGGCGGTAGAATGATGTACATGATCGCGTCTTGTTAACGGGATTTAGCGAAATTTCGTCGGATTATAAGTTTTCCATTCACGAAAGTCCGCAAACCAATGCTCTTGCCATACACAGAATTCTGTGACATTCACGGAAAAATCACAAGTCTTGCCTCTAGATCTCAGACAGGAATACAATATTGTTCCTTTCAATTTTATCTTTTCTTATAGTTTTAGTGCAGAGATGGTGAACCTTTTAAGAGTAGCATGCAAGTTAAATTATGGTTTATTATTTTCAGTGTTCTGAGAGCCAATTTTATATTTATTTTTGAAAATAATCTTTAAGTCGCTACTTTGATTTCAAATTATGGAATTATATTGCATTAAATAGAAATCAAATAAACACAGCATTTTAAAAAATATTTCAGCTAAGGATACCTTAAAGTTTGCTCCTTTCGTACTCAGAAATAAAATAATAATTAATGTAATTACAGTTTTTAATAGAAAGGAAACTAAAATCAACATCACAATTTCAACTGTTTGGGTCATAATTTGTTGTCTTTATTTTTATTTATTTATATTTTATTGCAAAAGCACTTGATTCTACATGATTAGTTTCCATGCAATGCACATGCATAAGATAAGAGCAGTGGGGAAAAAATTACAAAAAAAAACAGTAATCAGGGTTCTGTTTGGAAGAAATTTGGGTCCGTTAATGGACCCTTCACAAAATATCTTTTCATAAAAACAGACCCTTCACAAAATATTTTAACTTAAAAACGGACCCTTCACAAAATGATTTTTCTTTTAATCTGACCCTTCAGAAATTTGTTTAGCTTCATTGAATAAACACTTCCCAGGTCAGAAAACAAGAAAGATGAATGTAAACGAATTAAGTTTTGCCTTTGGCAGATGATTCTTCCATTATTCGTACGAAATGAATATTCTGCGTTCAGCAGTATAGGCTAAATACCAAATATTTGTATGTTGCATCTCTAATTTAGAAGCAGCAATTGCTGCTTATTTTTGAAAATTTAATTTTTTTTTATTATAATTTTACGTATAATTTCACAGTGCTGAGCATAATCTTGTAACTATCTACAATTTAAAAACTTCTTGAAAAAGTTTTTTACAGCAATAACCGGACCCTATTTGAACAAATTCATAAAAGAGTTAAAAGAATTCATCCGAGTTAAAAGAATGTGAGTAATTTTTTCGCAATTTCACAAAAACAGGACCTTTCACAAAATGTCTAGACAGACCCCTGGTAATGAACTTTATATTTATAACAATAAATACACTATGACAAGAATAATAAAACATTAAAAACTAAAGAAAATCAGTCTATGGACGTAAACTGTTTCCAATATTATTTAAAATGGTTTTCTTCTTTTAAAGAAGAAGATCTAGCTAAATGGTTCTTGTCCATTTCGAAATTTTGCTTTCCTAAAATGCACTAGGAGCTAGCAACTAGAACTAGGTGATGTTAAGTTTATGGCATCGCGATGCATCGTCACGCTAACATTGCGATATTTTGATGCATCGCGATGTTTGGTGCATTAATGTTTTACATTTGGTACTGCGCAAATTCAAATTCTTCCTCTTTCTGATTGATTGTTCGATTGAGGCAATTATATTCATGAAATAAACTCAATCCGAGTTACACCTCTCTCCATTTCAAAATTAGCTCATTATTACCATTAAAAAAAAAAGAAAGGAATACATAAAAAAGTAAAACGAATTCTGGAATAAAAGTAAAATATTAAGAATTCGCAATTAGTAAGTAGCATTGTTTTCAAATGTATTCATTGTTTTCAAATGCGTGTGTAGTCATCGATGTCAACAATACTTAGAGAAACATCGTACACATTTCAGTACTTCACAATTTAAAATGCAAGGAAAAATTGCCAATCCATTATTGCGATTATTGCATAACATTGATATTTTCCGATGCATACATTTATTGCCCAGTCTTACAAGCAACTATCATATAGTCTTAATTATTCATAGTATTTTAGGCTAGTTTGATAATTATTTAGAGCTATAATTTAGTTTTAATGATGCGACACAACTAATTCGGGAAAAAATGTGTTTTACCAACAAAAATCGTCGAGCTTGTTTTTCTTCTTTTTCTACCATTTTCTATGGCTCTTACACATTTCAAATGTTGTATTCCTAAACACTGAAATTCATAATTTGGAATATAGAAAAATTCTACGTATCATTTGTTTCAAAAAATGTTTTTAAAGAAGCACTGAAATGTGAAATGTCTATAAATCAAAGGTTTCACAGGATGTATGTGTTGCATACTTTTAAGACTTCACTTTAATTACAATTTTAATTACATTCATACAAAACTAGACTAAAATTGGAGAGCATCGAAAGAACGAGTTCAAATGCAATCCAAAAGGAATTATGAAAGCAATTTCAGGGGATTGATAAGCAGGACAATATATATGGATTCTGGAATGGATTATGGATTTAAAGAATGCCATACAAAAGCCTAACCAGAAAAAAAAATGAAACAAAACTAAATAACAATTACTGTTAACAAATCAGAAATTTTTCAATGTAACATTTATAAAATTACTTACAGCTAATTTTTCACATATAGCAGATTTCTGTTTATCATTTAATGTGTCATTAAATACTATTTCATCGTGAAGTTGATTTATGAGTTGACCAGCAGTATATCCTTCATGAGATAGTGTCTGAAAATATTAATAAAGGCTTTATTATATTAGATATATTTGTTTTACTTTTTAAATATAGTGACTTTACAGTAAGAGATTTCATACTGACTTAAAGCAATTAGATTTAAAATGAAGAAATTAAAAGAATTTTTTACACTAGTCTGTTCTGTAATTTTCCATATACAGTACAGAACCCGCTATCCGGAAATCAGAAAACTAAAAAACCGGAACGAAATTCGATACATTTTCCCGCCATTTTCAAAAACAAAATTTTTTTTTCCTCATGGGATTTTAGGATTCTTCTTTCTATTTTGAAAGATGTTTACCTTACCATAATTTTGGAAATAATCATTAGTGTATTACTTCATCGTTTTTTCTTCTTTTTAAGATTATTTTCAAATTTTTTTTTTTTTTAGTTGTTTATTAACAGTAAAAAAAACGGCTTTTTGTAACGATTCAGAAAACCGGAAAAATCAGTTATCCGGAATAGCGATGGCCCCGACCGTTCCGGATAATCGGTTCCCTACTGTATTTGTGACAATACCGTGGGACCTAGGGTATAGCATGGCCTGAACTCCCAGTTACAACATCCCAAACTTGAATAATACATACATAAACAAGATAACAAAAATCAAAAGCAGTCTTATAAAATAAAATAAAAATAGACAAGAGAAAAATAAAAAGCTCTGGTAGTGTCTGAAGGCTTAAAATTTTGCAAGTAAAATTTAGAATATAAAAATATTAAAATATACTTACGCAGACAAAATTTTCTAGCTTTTCGTAACTATCAGATTGACAAACTTTCATCAAATCTTTAAGCCATTTGTTGGGAACAATCTGTTAAAAAAACAAAATATAAGAAATGTATATATAGTGAAAATATAAACTAGATAATCAATACATTAAAAGCAAACGCTTTAAATTAATGGAGTACAAACTATTTTTTAAGTTCAAAAAACTTTTTTCAAGTCTTGTTTTATTTCTTCAGTACAAAAATTAACAATTCATATTTTTTGTTGGGCTAAAGTAGCTCTGGTTGACGGTAAAATTCAAATCATGCATGTGAATGCTGTTGTTGTTGTAGGCAACGGGTACGATTGTTCTTGTTTTTCAGTGATGCCATCTATGGCAAAGAAAATAAATTTCTGCCACACCCATTCGTCACACCTGTTTATAGGGCAAACCCATTCATCCACAGATCGTAATTTTGACTTGAAGCAGAGAATGATCAATCTCCAATTTAGTACCCTCAGAAGTATAATTTGTTAGGGGAACATGGAGGACTTTGTGACTTGACAGATATAATGTGTCCGAGTCACCATTTACTGTACGGGAAGTTTTCAGATGGCTGGATTCGAGCTCTTGTTCTCACAAACATGACTCCAGCACCCTGTCAGCCAGGCTATCCTGGCCCCCCTTTGAATGCTCACAAATAACTTTCTCTTTAAAAAAAAAATAACAAAGAATTTTTTTTAATTTCCAATGGCAGGGAATACAAACAATAACACAGAGGAACAATAAAAATAGAAAATAACAAAAGACTGAAGTCATCTTCCCAAAAGCTCTCTGGCACGCCAATATCTTGCGGTCTCCGAGTCAAGTCCGTGGAGCCTCCTACAGCAATGGAGGTGCTCTCCATTCATTGGTGCTTTAGAACCACACAGTTGACACCGAGGGTGGTCATAAATACCTATACGATGCAGGTGTTCTCCTAGACAATCATGACAGAAAAATAACAAAGAAATAAAATGCAATATCAAAGTGTAACTCACTCCACTGATATCAGCAACATCGGTGGCTGTTATTCCATCCTCTCCTTTTAAACGATGAGCGCTTTGCAATAGTGTAATGGCCTTCCTCAGATCTCCTTCAGAATATTCAATAATGGAATCAATCACCTGCAATGAAAAATAAAACTTTCTATTTACTTTGTTAAATTCATTATACAGTTTTTTCCTACTTTAAACTTTTTTTTGTAGATTAGTTTAATAAATGATACAACTCTTAACAATATATTTATTAACAATTTTTTATAGAACACAATAGATTTTATACAACACGATAGATTCCCTAATGTATAGTGTGGCTTTCAGGAGAACTCCTTCAGACATTATTCCGCGTGGTGGGTACTGTAGCTACGAGAAAAAGTCACTTCGAATAGGGGTGTGGGGTAAATAGCTTTGTCGTGATCTTGGCATGGGTCAGCGTGAGTAAACCAATCAACACCTTCATTCCTCCATTGCACTCCCATTAGAAATGTGCTCTCGCTTGTTACCATAACAGCAACCAGCACCAGACTTCTAGTCTGGAGGAGTTTTCATCAAAGGGGCACAGTAAATCCCATAGAAGATCTTTGATTCCATAAACATATGGAAACTAATAGATCTTAGGAGATTGTTGCAGTTTAAAACTTCATATGCAAAAATATTTCTGTATTTTGAAAATTTGATGATTGATCAGGCTTTCTTATTCAAGGCTCCAACTCAATTTCAGAAGGAAAAAAAAAAGTCACTAACTTGTCCAGGTAAATCGGGTAAATTTCAATGGAAATCCAAATCATATTTTATTTACAGCATGCAATTTTTCATCAGAAAACTTTGATTTTTATATTTGTAATGTTAAATATTAGATTTTGTAAGTAAAAACATAGAATAGAAAGAGAATGGAAACATGGAAAATTTCCCTAAAAAGTGGAATTTTATAAAATCATTATAATAAATATCAGAATTATTCAACTCGAGTCTCGATAACCGATTACTGTTACTGACAATTCTAAGACTGGTTATTTTCCAGGTTTTTTGCAAAAAATGGCAACTTCCCCTGATTATTGCATACTCTTTAGAATTAAAATAAAATTCCCTAACAATTCCAGGTTTTCCCTGACCAGTGGGAGCCCTGTTATTGTATGAGTCTGCAAATTTACACAATACCTTTCGTAATTAATAAATTATAAGACATAAGGGATATAGGAATTTTAGTGCATTTTTCAGTCAATATGTTCAGTCAATCAGATTTATGACATCACACTAGAAAATATAGCTAACCTTTTCTTCCAACTTTACATTCTCTTCAGTGGTAATGTAGTTTAGACGCTGAGATAAAGTCTCTTTAGATAATGGCTTGAATCGAAATTTGGAACATCTGGATGTGAGAGGATCAATGATTCTGAAATTTATATTAGAATTCAGTAAATAAAAACACAATCAGTAAATAAATACAAAAATATCTATAAAAGGATGAAGATTCTTACCTACTAATATAGTTACATATTAGACAGAATCGAGTGGATTTACTGGCTTTCTCCATAGTTCTTCGAAGAGCAGACTAAAAAAACAAAATAGCACTCAACAATCTAAGAAACACAAATATCATACTTAGGCAACATACTTTCATTAAAAAAATTAATATTTAAAAGAATGTGGTAACAGAAATGTGTTATCAAAAAATTAAACATACACTCCCAATTTTTTTTTTCTTTATCACAAAAAGTCCCTAATTCCTCTTATTATATATTTAAAAATACAGTTTAATTATAACATGATTGAACAATATATCCTTGTAAGAAATTATTGAAATAGAAGTTGATAAGAAAAATTTTTATTAGCTGGATATCTTTCATTTTATTATTAAATTGAAAATCAATTGTTTAAAAAATTTTTTAAGCCATTACAGAAAAATAAACGGTACTTTGGGATTATCTTGTCAACCATTTTTGTACTTTGCGATAATCCCCTTGATAATTTTCCTGAAACTCGATATTATCTTCAAAAGGTAGCTTCCGCACCAATAACAGCAACTTTTTTATACCCCGTCAACACAGCGGAACTACCCAAAAACACTTGGATTTGTACTTAAATGAATTTATGTGGCAATGACTGCGCAAGGATAATGACTTGTTCATTTGCACTTTTAAAACTATCCAGGACTTTTGGCCACCCAAATGATTTATAATAATATATATGGTTAGATTCAAGAATAATTAAATGTGTAATTATGAAAAAAAATAGAGGCTTTTGCTTTGCTTTAATTCTTTTTATTGTGTATTGAACAATCACTTAACATTTTTTTTTGTTATGATTTTATTATTATTTGATAAAAACATAACTGTTCAGAAGGTTTATTTTGGAAATTGCTTTTCATTATGATGGTGCCAAAGGATTTGCGCATTTTTGTGAGCACTGACTAATTGTTCTGTACTGTATTGGAGAAGTAATAAAAAAAAAAACAAATCAGCATTTAAAAGAGGAATTAATATAGAATATATTACCTGTGCAGCATTTGTCATTGAATCTGCTTCATCCAATATTACAATTTTAAAAGGTGGACAAGGTCGACCACTAAAAGAGAAACCAGAGTAATATTTAAACAATATTATTGTAATTTCCAATTTTGAGAACATAACTCAGTCTAAAAAAAATTTTTATTCGTGAAAATAAGTTTTGGTGTCGTTTACACTTGCTTCAAATTTTTAGTAACTCTCATAAGTTAAAAATATTTTTAAGAATTAAAAATTAGGATATCACATGTGTAACACAATATGTTCTGTCTGTAACAGCTAGTTTTAATTTTAAAAAAAAAAAAAAATTACACTTCGAAACACTTTTAAAATTTGGTGTAAGTGTTAGTAACACCAAGACACCTTTTTACAAAAATTATTATAGTACTTGAATTTTTTTTAATTGTGTCATCTGATTTTAAATTTAATTGCATATAAGCCTATAGCTCATTTCCATTAAAACATTTAAAAAGGAGTAAAATTGAATGATACAATATATTAATTTATTTTAAAAAACAAAAGTAAATACCAATTAGTCAGGTAAACTACTTTTCTCCCTATTATGAAAATGAATTCAACACATATCCCAGCATATAAAGTGCATTACAATGATAAATTACATCATATAATATCATCACTTACTCGGGTCGAGTTGCACTAGCAGTTTGCTGAGCAAATGTTTTTACTTTATCTCGAATAACTTGTATACCACGCTCATCTGAAGCATTAAGTTCCAATATCCTAGTCTTAAACATGTCACTAAATAATAAAATATTTGCTTTAAAATAGTTAACAGAAAACAGTATTCACAATAAAACAGTTCAAAAACAATATTCACATTAAAACATTTGTGTATGAAAACGCAGACAGATAATTTTTATCAAATACGCACATAAAAAAAAAATGAACAAAAAGTTGAAAATTGACATAAACCTTAAACAAATATATATTTTTTACAAACCCAAATATTTCTCTAGACAGAGCCAGTATAGTTGAAGTTTTTCCAGTACCAGGGGGGCCATAGAACAGCAGATTAGGAAGCTAAAAAAAAAATAAAAAAAATTCAAATTGCTTTAAAGTTTTTTTGAAAAAAATTGCTTAAGAATAAAAAATTTTTGAATACTTACATCAGGATTGGCTAAGCTCTTTTTTAAAACTGCAACTACTTCATCTTGATAAACAACCTCGTTCATGCATTTTGGACGACTAAAATGCAATAAAATATAATGTAAAGTGATCTCAAACATAAGAATAGAATTAAAAATTAAGGAAAGAATATTGCCTACATTATAAGCATTGCCTTAATTTTGTAACCTGAACAAAGAAAATAAAACATCCTTAAAATCAACAGAAATATAGATTTAAAAAAAAAATCTGCTAAAATCATCCAGAATAATTCCTGGTCAGCAAGTTACGAGATAATTCCAGGTAAGTCTTTTTTATGTTTTAAAAATACTTCACTAAAATGAAAAAAATCACAGAGGTACTCTAAACTATCCTCATTGGAATTTATTTCTAGATTATGAGTTTATTGTTTTGTTTTGTTTTTCAAAAAATTATTTTTGAAATGGCATGTTAAATTTCTGTAAAGCAACATTAGCCTTAGTTATGATACGTTTTTACAAAGATCTAGGTCATAACTGGAGTTTTTTTTTCTTTTCCTTTGGAATTACATTTAATTGTTATGAAATATATTTTGATAAAATGAGATGACCAGAAATACATAAATTAATCACAAATGCAAACAGATATTTTTATAGTTTCAAAAAATATCTGAATTTCTCTCTTATAAAACTCAAATAAGATGTTTTAGTACATGCATCTGAGACATGTGCATTAACCTTAGGAGATCAGGAGGCGTCGACAATTTTAAGAAGTATTTGTTATGGAACTCATGTGGGGAAGGCGAACAAATTTAGAATTATGTAAGATCATTAAAGAGTCTGATATTGTGAAACACTTAAGAATCCAACTGAAAAATTCGAAGTGCTGAAAACTATTCTAGCCAAGCCTATAGGAACCAAATGAAGCAGCAGACCTTGGCTTAGATAGATAGACAATCTCAAAAAGACATAGACAGTAGGAAAACCAGAAAATTGGAGGCCAGTTGACCAACGGAGATATGCCTGAAAAACACTTATAAAGAAGGCCACAACCCACCCAGGGCTGTTGTGCCACAAAAGAAAAGGAAAAATAAGATTCTATTTTATTTCAGAAAAGCTCCAAATAATTTTATACAAAAAAAAAGTCATTTGGTCACAGGGATATATTTCTATAATGGTAACTGCCATTACCAATTATAATTACCAACGCACGGAAAAATTAACTGACAAAAATACACAAAAAATTCAATTATTTAAACAGAGGTGTCTATGAGTATTCTTTGAATTGGTGTCCTCCTCTAATATTTTTGTGATCTTGGTCTTGGTGCAGTTACCAATAAGGAAATTGTCTCAGTATTAGAAATTATTACATTTTACTTCAAATAAAAATCATTTGTATATTATTACATGTATAAAACTGTTTTAAATTTTTTACACCATTAAAATAATCTACATTGAACATAAATTAACAGATATTAGTAAATCATATACAAAAATGTAATTATGTAATGTTATAAAATGTAATTATGTACAAAAATGTAAAAATACAAGAATTACTATTTTTCCACCCAAGGAGTAGGTCTTTTTGTTTTCTTAGATGTGGATGCACTTTCATCATCTTTAGATGTGCTTGGTTTCACCTTAATTGATCCAGGTTTGTAACCTTTCAAGAAAGCTTCCATCTGCAAAAAGTAAATGTCCTATTTTAATTTAATATGGTAAAAAATTTAATAAATTATAATTTTTTATATATAAATATTATTTATAGACAAGTGTTAATATAATATAAAATCTAGGTATTAATTTATGTCTTCATTCATTATAGAGAGACCTAAAACCTTCTCTTTAAGATCTTGATTCAGCATAGGTTAAGTAAGTGTTTGGTTGATTGCTAAATGAAAAAGTCTTGAGAATAATTGCCTTTTCTGAGAAGTATCATTTATTAATAAGCGATGCCTGATGGCCCAGGGGATAGAGCACTCGCCTTCCGACAAGGAGAACCGTGTTTAAATCCCAGCAATGGCTGGTCTATACAAATTCTGCATCCACCCTGCACCGACCACAATGCTGACGTAAAATATCTGCAAAGGTACATGGATCATAGGTTAGAGTCCTCTTGCCATCAAGCTAACCATGGGAGTTTTTTATCTCCATGTAATGCAAACACAAATTTCCATCAAAAAGTTCTCAACGAAACCAGATTTCTTCCAATGCTTGATCCAGGAGATTGGGTTCCGAATTACGAGGCTACAGTGTCGAACATTAGTAATAGCAAAGCCGAAAAATTGAGTCAGGTGCACCGTTACGGTTATAAAATAAAATTATTAATACAAAATTCTTGATTTGTCTAGGCTTTATTCATGATGTTTTACTTTATAAATTTAGTACAAAATATACTCTAACCTCGTTCGGATATTTTTAAAGTCAAGAATTTTTCAGAAAAAATCTGATATATTAAATTAGAAATGTAAAATTCTAGAAAATTATTGGGTATATTTCTGTAATGTGACTTGTCATGCCAACAACAATCAAGGGGACAAACTGATTTAAAACCAGAAATTTTTCTTAAAAATTGAACTAATAGAGGTCTCTCTGGAAGTTATACCCTTTCGGTTGATCCCATTCGGCCATGTCCAGTTTCTTGCGGGCAGATGCAAAAACTTGACAATGCCACAGATCACAATACGATAAATCGTCCCAAATCACGAAATCTAAAAAAACCTAACAAAGAATCGCATTTTCTAAGATGTGTCAATATTCTGAAAAATCCGAAATTTAAGATCTAACGATTCGTTTGACTTCTTAAGAAAACCAGGGGTCTGTCTAGGTTTTTCTGAGAGGTACCTATTTTGTGAAAATTTAGACATAATTTGTGAAAAATTAAAAATTATATTAAAAAATCAACACAAAAATATGGATTTATCGTTTCTTAAGGGATACAAAAATAAAATTTTAAGAAAAAGTATTTTGTGAAACTTCTGGTTTTCCTAAAATTGAATTTGAGAAACTACCGTTTTTCCTCAAGTTGAATTGGTGAAGGTACCGCTAAACGGAAGTAAATTCGGCCTGGACAGACCCCTGAAAACTATCAGAAATTTTTAGCAGAAAAAGTGGTCAAATGTTTTAATGAAATGGACGAAAGTAACAGTCAAAGTATGATTTTGAAAGGGGAGACAAATCAACTTGGAAATATCAACAGAAAAATAAGCTGTCTAGAGTTTGAATTTTAATTAATTTTTCAAAACTTCCTTTAAAAAAATTTTACAATTTATAAACGTATTTAAAAGCCTATTTCTCTTCCTTTTTGCTCCTGGTGCAACATGAACTGCCTAAGTGAACTAAAATCCTTCACTGACTTCCAAGCGATGAAAAAAGTTCTAATATTTATAAAATGGACTTAATTAACTCGTCTTCTACAAGAATAAATACAACAACTTATTTTGGCAATCTACAAAATGAATATCTAACAATTATGCTAGATACAAGAACTGAAGAGTAAGCTGACACATAAAAAAAAGGAATGACTTATTCTAAAATTGGAAGATTTATTTTGAACACAAGAATGACTAATTGTTTTTAAATAGCTGAATTTAGAATAAAGATAAAATAAAAGTTTTTAAATTGATCAGAATATAAATAAACATATACTTTAAATATCCAACCTTGAATTAAAAACAAACCGCCAAAATATTTATTTACTTTTTAACAATCAATAAAGTTACAGTTACACAAATAAATAAATATTGCGACTGAAAGCACATATTCTTCAAAAGAAAAAAAACTTTGATGAAAGAACATTTAAAAGAATTAAATGTAAAATAATTTAAATTGATCAATCGAAAATAAATTAAACAGAGCATTTAATGAAAACGAAACTTACATTTATAAGCATTTTTTTGGCAGCAGACAGTTTTTTATATTTATTTGGTTGTTTTAAGAGTTGATGAATGATGGATAAGCAGCAGGCAGGTAGCAGGTAAACATTTGTAATTGTGTCAGTCCTTGAATGATCTTTTTTTCACCTTTCGTGTGTGTTGATGCGTGTGAAATGATTAATTAGTTAATGAACTTATTTAAAATCGTTGCGGAATTCTGTATTGTTATATTGGATTATGATTTGATAAGTACGCCCCCTTTCTTTTCTTTTATTTAGAATATATAATATAGTAATTATTTGAGACTCAAATGATCCTCCTATTTGTAATAAATTCATTTTTCAATTAAAATATTACATGGCTTTGTTTTTATGGAGTTTTTTTTACCCTTCATATTTTTATGTTGTGTCAGTATGGTCTGAATTTATGCAACATAAGTAGATGTTCACTGGTATGTTTTATTGGTTATATTTAACTCTCAAATGTGTGCATTCTTTCCAAAATCTGACAGTTAAAAATTTTGTTAGAGAATACTATGATCCATTTCATCTATGAAATTTCACCTACAATCATTTACGTTTTTTTATTTATTCATAAGTAGTGTGGTGGTTTTTATTGGAATCGCAACTAATATTGATATTCCTTCATTTATATACGGAAAAGTGTTTTTTATTTTACCTAATCCATGAAATATTATATTTTGAGCAGTGTAGTAATTAATGAATGCATCACTACTCTTGTAGATTTATGTATTTCCAATTTGTTCCACCAGCTATCTCAATATCATGGGAGTGGCTTTATTGCAACATCAAATAATTTGTTATTACTTCATTTGTAAGTAGTGCCATATTTGTACCTGAGCTAATATAATCACCAAGTTTTGACAATTTCTGGACACAGACAACTACAAAAAAGCATTTACGGAAGAGGACCAACTTGAAGGGTGGGTGAACCTCTACATGTATTTTTTTAACTTTGTTCCCTAGGCAATTATAGTTGAAACAAACAGGTACTAATCATAGATGGGTTTTTTCTTCTTTTTTTTCAAATTAATAAGAAGAAAAATTTGGGTATATTTCAGAATCGTGATCTGTGGTCAAGGTGCCAAATAGAAACTTTCAAATTCTTTGAAAAATAAAATATGTAGAATTTTTTCCCGGGGGTTATGAGTTATATCTTTCAAGTTGGTCCCTTGCTGTGATGATTTTCTTTCAATTTTCTCCCTTTCTGTGTTTTTTTTTTCTTCAAGTTTCTCATGTGCAGGAGCCCAGAAGTTGCCAAGACTTGACGATTATTCTGTAACAAATAAAGTTCTGCTTTTTCGTGTATTTAGAAAAAAATAATTAGTTTTCAAAAAAAAAATTTCTACCAATGTATGTTAATAGGATCTATTTTCATTCAAGCAATTTAAAACCACACATCTCAGTTCTTATTCACATAATTTAAAATATTGCATTGTAATCTATATTCATGTGATTTGAAATTGGACATTGCAAGTCATTAATCACATGATGTAAAAATGTCATATCGAGATTCAAGCAATTTTCAATTATCCTTGGCTATTGATATTCGTTTGACCTAAAAATCGCACACTGAGGCTCGTGTGTGCTTAAAAGGGAAAAAAATGTGCATCTATATTTTTATTAATACATTGATTAGTTTATAGTTACATGCTTCTTACATACTCTATTTTCTTGCTCAAATTTCTGACATTTTTTTCAAATATTTAAATTTGGTGTTGGGCATAGCATTTTTTAAATTCTATTTTCAGCATTTTTGATTTCATACATAACTCCTCCCTGTATTTAAATCTGTAAAATATTTTTAATTTTATGACTCCATTGAATTTTAACCTTTTAGCTAGGTTATAACTAGCAAATATATAAGATATATTTCTCTAGGGACAATTGTTAATTAAAAACAGATTCATTTAAATATTTTCTTTCCTTAGCTCTTAACTAAAAATATGTTTTTTCTGTTATTTTTTATCAAAATATTTATAATATTAATGAGATAAAATTAATATTTTTCAGGTGATTTTTTCTGTTATTTGCCACAATGAATCCAGAGGCAACTGATACACAGTGGTTGTTCGAACTTCTGCAAGAAGTACAATTGGAACAGTTTTATTCCAAAATCAAAGATGAATTACAAGTCACCAGGTTATCTCATTTCGACTATGTTTTATCTTTTGACTTGGAAAATATTGGGATGGGTAAACCAGCTGCACGGAGGCTTCTCGATGCTGTCAAAAAACGTAGAGCTACTATATGGAAGAAGAATATTTTAAATAAAGTAAACTATTGTTTTATTATGCATTTTTTATTAAGCTTCATACAGGGCTCAAAGCTGTCCTTAATTTCCTTTAAAAAAATGTCCTTTAATATCCTTAATTATTAAACATTTTAATAAATGTCCTGAAATTTTTGTGATTTTCCATATTTTTGTTGAAGTTAATAGGAAGAATAAATACTATTTATCTGAAAAGGAATTGAAGAAATTTCAAAATCAAAAATTATGTTATAGGCCATGAAAGTAAGTAAATAACAAAATAAACTAAAGTGTTCATAGCGCATCAAGTACAATATTAATGACTTCCAGTGTTAGAGACAATTACCCTTTATGTAATGGCATAAAAGGCAGCATTCTATGTTTAAGAAATGTATAAAAAGCTCTTATCTCTCTATTCCCCTCCTATCACTATATCATGCTGTTTTTCATAAAAGAATTCTTGTATTTTGCTTCTACTTAAGAATTTTCCATATTTAGATTATTTTCTACTTTTTTTGTTATTATTTTTTCTTTTTTAGTTATCAGAAATTATATTTTACTTTATTAGAAATTGAAGAAAAAATCAGAGGTTTTTTTTTTTTTTTTTTTTAAGATNGTTTTTTTTTTTTTTTTTTGTAATGTTTCTTTTTTTGCTTAAGTTCAGAAACTACTAAGACTATTAACAAATCTATATCTGTGACTTCATGCTGAAATTGCTCCCATTAGAGAATCAGCATCTTTAATTGTGGGGGCAATTTTTTCCTTAATTTTTATATTTCGAACTTTCAGCACTAAAACTTTAGCGGTCCATTGCTACCACCTTAGGTATTCATTTGGCAGTCCAGAAACTTGATATGGTAGACTAACTTGAGAAGAAGAAAAAAAATTACAATTACATGCCTTACGTAATGGTGCACATCAAAAAGTGTTAATTGCCATTTATAACTCGGCAAAACTAATTAGGTTCATTGCCTCATAATGATTAAAGATTAGTGTTTATTAAAGTTAATTGAAAAGTAGCTAAAATAATACAGTAGAGAACCAATTATCCGGGATGCTCGGGACCATCGCTATCCCGGATATCTGAATTTCCCGGTTTTCTGGATCGACCAAAAAGTGTCGTTAATCGATGTTTTATCGAACCCGAATTACAAGGAAAAAATGCAATGCATAAAGTAAGAGAAAAAAGGAAGGTACTCCTAACTTTAAAGAGAAAAATAACATTTAAAAGAATAAAAAAATTTGCAAGTTTAGACAAGAAAAACAAGATTAAAAAATACAAAATTCTGATATTTATTTTTAAAAAATAATTACAATTCCTAAATTAACTAATATAAACAAAACCAATGGTTAAATAACGCAATATATTTCATACCTAATTATACGGGGGAAACGATAAAATAAAAGGAAAACTTATTAATCTAAATAAAAACACTTGAAAATTATCGAACCGAAACGATAGTTAAAAAAGGCACTAGCATAAATATT